AGACGTTTAGCAAGAAAACGGACACACATATAAATGGTAAGCAGGGCAGGGAGGGAGAAGATGTGGGGGTGACGTAAGGCAAGTGTTCAGGGATGTTCTCTCTGAGGAGACCTGGGGGTGGGAAAGAGCCACCACGGACAGATCCTGGGTGGGCGGATCATTGAGAGAGAATCTCCTGCCCCTGGGATGAGAACTAAGGAAACTCAAAGGAGGTCAGTGAGGCTGAAGCAGAGAGAGCTCAGGAGGGAGGAGACAGGTGGGCGGAGGCCAGACCCTGCAGGCCTTGATGGCTGACTGGGGACTGGGCTTTTCCTAAATTCGCTGAGAAGCCCCTGGGGCTTTAAGCAGAGGACTGACATAGTCCACTTCAGGTTTTTCACTGATAACTGGTTTCTGTGAGAAGAAAGGATTCTAGGAGTGCAAATGGGAAGACCCAACCACACAGCAGGTGAGGATGATGGTGATTTGAACTTGGGAGAGAGCATGGCAGAGGAGAGAAGGGGGAGACTTGCCTGTGGAGGTCATGGCGGAGCCCGAGGGGGAGGGAGGGATCACACATGCCCCCCCTCAGGTCTAGGTTTGATGAGCTGGGGAAAAGAGCAAGCTGGATGGGGTGGGGAGGACCTAGGGAGGAGCAGGCTGGGGTGGGGAAGATAGAGGGAGGAGCAGGCTGGGGTGGGGAGGACTGAGGGAGGAGCAGGCTGGGGTGGGGAGGACTGAGGGAGGAGCAGGCTGGAGTGGGAGGGACTGAGGGAACAGCAGGACCTAGATAAGGATTCAGAGGGCAAGTAGAAAGACTCTTGGGTATCAGTCCAGGTGGCTTTTTCTTCTCTGGACCTCAGTTTCCCTGTTTGTAAAGTGGGCACAGGAGGTGGACCAAATGGTGTCTTTGGGATAGGCCAGTTTTGCCCCCAGTGCTCGATATTGCAACCTCAGCAGTGAAGGAGAGACCTCTATGCCCTCCCCGTGGAATCTGGGAGCAGTCACAGGCCGGCGCCCACCTAGCCCAGCCCTCCTCCAGGGGAACCCAGCACCTGAGCGGGCAGGAGATGAGTTCTTCTAGCAGGTCTCATAGTGCATCCCGTCAGCAGAGGCTGGCAACCAGCCTTCTCTCGGATCCCTGGAAGCGCCTGCTAATTGCATTCCTCCCTGACACTCTGCTAATTGCATTCCTCCTGACGGCTCTTCCTTCTGGCCCTGCTGGAATTGTCAAGGCAGCTCCTTCACTTGAGAGCCTGGACTCCAGCCCACCATCTGGCTAACCCTGAGGCTGCCAGCCTCAATGGGCCCCACATGGTGCCTTTGTACAGATGAGAAAAGGCAGCCCTTCCTCAAGTGGAGTTGACCTCTCACCAGAACCCACCTAGTGGCCAGCTGAATAAGAAGTAAATATCAGCCCCTATCGTCCATCAGCCAGCCACCTTTGTGCCGTGAACAACCTGCATGGCAATACTTGACAGCCCTAGTTTCTGAAAATGATGGAGACAAATAGGAGACTGGGTTAGGGGCGCACAATGTAAGAGAAAGAGGATGTGTTTTCTTGGGCAACTAGATGAAGAAAGTGTGAGCAACTGGCCTTAAATTTCAAAGAGGGAAGTTTGCAAGTAAAGGAGTGCAGGGTAGGGGTGATGCCAATGCCAACTCCTTGAGTAACAGGACTGGGGAAAGGAGTGTCCCCCCAGAAGGGTTGGAAGGGACCTAGGGGGACAGCTGAAGAACCTTTGTAGAAGATAAAGATTGTGGAGAGTTGGAAGTTATCTACCCAGACAGAGGACTGCTTATCAAGGTGCCAAAATGTTTGTGGGGCCCAGTCCTTTAACTCCTGGTCTGCGTGTCTTTCATCTGTGGTGTTTTTACCTTCAAATATCTGAAGAGACTTTTTTTAGAATAAAAAATAGGATGGCTATTTTGGTTGAGAAAACTCAACGTACAGTCTGTTGACTGTGTCTATGGGGTCTATGGGGCACCTCCCCCACCCCACACCCCACCACCTGCATCGCAGAGCCATAGTAAGGAAGTCTTGATGCCAGCCTAAGACGTTGGCCCTGGCTGGCTGGGATGGGGAGCCACTGACAGGATTTCAGGAGGAGGGCACCATGGCCACATCTAGGTTTTAGAACAATCCCTCCCGCTATCTCAGGGTGGGGAGTGGCTTGGAGGGGGCGGGAAAGCAAGGAGACCCATCAGGAGGTTCCTACCTAGTTCAGGGGAGATGAGGTGGTGGTGGAGAGGAAAGAGAGGCTGGGACAGGACTGGCAACTGATGAGGGAGAGGAGAGAGGAGTAGGGGAGAAAATGGTACCCTGATTTCTGCCTCCAGTCTCCGAGTGGTGCTTTTCACATGGAGAACCAAGGGAGGAGTGGTGGGCCTTGACTTCTTTCTGAGACATGGTGAGCGGGAGGAGACTGGCAGAACAGGGCATCCCTCCTAACATGGGGTTAAAGTGCCCTGCCCCTCCCTCCCAGTCCCCCTCTACACACATAAGGTCTGCCAGTTCCTGGGCCCAGACTGGGGAGAGGCTCTTGGCTGCTTCTTAGGGTCCCATGGTGACTGCCTTTGAGATCTCCTCAAGAACGGTTCCCTTCCAGGGTGGCCAGGGCTCCAGGGGACAAGATGCCCCTTCAGCCACTGTTGGGAGCCCAGAAAGATCCGGGCTGACCTACGTCTGCATCCCAGGCCTGCTACTTCCTTGCTGTGTGACCATGGGCAAGTCACTCAACCTCTCTCAGCCTTGATATCCCCATCTTTTAGTGGGACTAAAGTAACTCCTGATCACTAGCCTTAACGCATTAATGTTTGCTCCCTCCTGCTCCCACAGAAGGCATGTGATGCTGCTGGATCACTCAGGTTCACTAGCTTAATTCATGATGATACCAGGTGCCCGCTGTGTCATGGGCATAACCTCAGGGAGCCTTGGTCTCTCTGGCAAGTGGGGAGCCCAAAGCCTGAGGTGTTAGTGTCCTAGCTTCAAGGCTAGCTGATCTGGCCTTGTCCCCTTTTCTAATTTGCCCCAGCCTGGTGGGGGCAGTCCCCACAAGAATCAGATCCTGGGAGGGGACAGGGCCCCAGGGCCCACAGTGAGCTCCTTAGATCTTGGGCTGAGGCGGGCCTGCAGTTTGATAAGGGGCTCCTTGAAGCCTCGAGGTCCACCCGCCCCCAGCCACATTGGGGGAAAGCTAAGGAGCTGAGCAGGGGCTGCATGAGGGCTTTTCTCACGTCCTGGGAACCCCTTGCAGCAGTGTGGTTGAGAGGCCTGTGCAGGAAAGGCCCAGTGTCCCTTCCTGAGCAAAGTCCCTCCTGCCCTCCTCCAGGACCTTACAGTGAAAAGAGACCCAGCCCCAGCTGCTCCTTCCTGGCTGTCCCCCACCACCCCCCAGCTGTCCCTCAGTTCCCCATCCATAAAACAGTGATAAGAACCTCTTTCAAAGGGTGGCCAGGAGGATTTACAGAGATACTGAGTATGGGATAACTTGGTACTTTCTGAGCACATGGCAAAGTTTGGAAGTATTAAACACACATGCACTGTGACCCTCCGTGAGTTCACAGGACAGCCTGACTCCTCCTACAGCTCTGCACCTGGACACCCAAAACAAGTCACCTCAGTGCAGGTGAGAGCAAGCTTACCTGGGAACACTCTGGGGACCACACCTGCTCTACCCTGTCCTCTCTGTGTGGCCTTGGGCAAGTGACCAACCTCTTGGAGCCTCACTTCTCAACTGTGAAATGGGATTACCTTCCTCATTGGATAGTTGAGGGAACTCAATAAGATACTGCACCTGAAGCGCTCCGTACAGCATTGACATGTGAAAAGTTCTCAAAACTTGCTGTTGTGATGAAGCCAATGATGGTGATGATGGTGATGACAGCGATGATGCTGGTGGTGATGATGGTGGTGCCGGTGGTGATGGTGCTGGTGGTGATGGTGCTGGTGAGAAAGGAGCTAGAGGGCAAGGATGTTGGGATCCATCTCCTTGGATGGGGGTCTTCTCTGGCTCACCCATTTTCTCTTAAACTCCCCCCTCCCTCTCAGGGAAGAGGACACCTCCCCAGGGCTGGCGAGTGGGGACCCTCGGAGGTACCCCTCACGTCACATGGCCCTTTAGTGGTCCTGTCCCTTTGCTGGAGCTTTGGGCCTCCAAGGACAGTGAAGAGTGACGTGCCCTGGAGCCCTAGCCTCAATGTGGTTCAGCCCCCAGATCCTGCAATGCTGTGCTGCCTGATTCCCCTTGCACGTGCCTTTGCCTGGGCAGGTTCCCCTTCCAGGAGCTCCCTGCTTCTCCATTGATGAGGATTGTGCCCTCGTCAGGTGTCCTCCAACCCCCACTCACCTCCTGCCTCACCTTTGGTCCCTCTCCAGCAGCACATCTGAGCCCCACTGGGTGTGGAAGGCAACCCAAGCCTGTAGGCCCAGGCAGGCTGACTGAGGAGGACTGGGCAGGCCTGGCCCTCACCCCAGCCAGAGGGATGCTGTCTGTACCTGCATAACAAACAGACCATCTGCCACACCAGTTCTGGTGGCCCTGTGACAAGGGTCAGTGTTTAGCTCATGGCAAGGGCCAAGGATCATTCGGTGCCAAGGATCCAGGCTGTCTGTGACAAGGATCACTTTCTGTTGTATCTGGGGCCAGGTTCAAACATGACAAGGGACAGGGCTGTGCCCAGAAATGTCTGCTCTGACTGTCACCTGTGTCAGAGGGTCCCCTGGCAGCCCTAGAGGGGCTTCTCCCTGCCCCAGGTTCCCCCATGATGCCCTGGGTGTTTAGGTCAGGGCAGCAGGAGCCTGATACAGCAGGGGATGATGGGAGTAGGGCTGAGCCCCATGCCTACTCCACGGACCTGCCCTGCTCCCAGCCTCAACTTCTCTCCTCTCCACCCCTGCCCTCCACCCAGGCAACGTGAGCCGCAGCTGCACCAGTGAGGGCTGGACGCACCTGGAGCCTGGCCCCTACAACATTGCCTGTGGCTTGGATGACAAGACATCAGGTTTGGACGAGGTGGGCCTCCGTGCATGTCCCCCTTGACCTGCTAGGCTCCTTCCACTCGCTCCCACTCAGGGCTGAGGTTGCCCTCTGTGTGGGAATCAGGACTCCTGGGGTCTGCCCTCCCCTAGCCTCCTCCCTCTCCAGGCCTGCATTTCTCAGGCTCATCTCCTGGCTTCCTGTGACAGGGTACAGAAGGGGGCTTTCATGAGGATGCTCACAGCGGAAAAGCTAAAGCAGCAGCCCCTGGCCAGGCCACCGCACTGCCTGGTGGGAGCCCTGCTCCAGCCCTGGAGATGGCAAGGCTGGCAGATATTATCCCCTGTGTCGCATGCAGAGGGAAACTGAGGTGCAGATCTTGGAAGGAACCAGCTGCAGATAGCCAACAGCCAGTCAGGGACAAGGATAGGGACAGGAAAAGGACCTGTCCACAGTCCCAGGACAAGGATCTACCCTGAAGCAGGTGAAGCATAGGTGGTCACTGTAAGGATGAGAGGCCAGGAGCCAGGCTGGGATATTGATGGGGAAGCAGGAGTATAATTGGAGTCCTCGGCTGGAGCCCCTCTCTGCTTTGGTGTGCGAATGCATGTGTGCGTGTGTCTGTCTGTCTGTCTGGATGACTTCTGTCCCACCCTCAGACACCCCTCTCAGACAGGTCTTTCACTCCCCTCAAGAGGGCAGCAATTGCCTCAGAGGCCTTCACAGCCCACCAGATCCTCAGGTTGGATCTAAATCCCTTAAATCCCACTTAACCACTTGCCTCCTCTGCAGTGGGGCATGGGAGGTGGAGAGGAAGGAGGGGCCTGCCCAGGGACCGTGGCTCTGAGTGTGTGTTCATGGGGAAGGCATCGGGAGGTGGCCAGCAGGAAGCTCTTGGGTTCCAGCTTTGTCCTGCCTCCCCAGAAAGGCCAGATTGCCCTCATCCTGCTGACAAGAGCCCCAAATGGGAAATTATCCCACAGTGTCTTCTTTCCCATTCTCCATTCCCTGTGTGCCCGTGAAGACATGGCGAGGGGGCCTCATGACAAGAGGGCCTCATGTTGGGGTTTGAAGGGCAAACAGTCTTGGTCCCCTAGGATGCTGAGCCCAGAGTTGGCACAGAAGGGGTGCCAGACACATGCGTGAAGAATGGACAAATGGACGAATAAAACTTGTGAGGTCTTCACTCATTCCCTCACTGACATTTCCCTCATGAAGGAGCAGAGAGAAGTGGTTGAATTCAATCCCCTCCTCCACCTTGGAAAGCAGTCCTGTCCTGTATGTGGAAACTGGGTCAAGGGGTCAAGGGGTCTGGGGACTGAAGGGGGCTGCTTAGCTGTTCTTGGGAGCCCTGGGCCTCAGCTTCCACATCTGCCAAGGCAGGGATGGAAGGCAGGGTATGTAGGGCATCCCGCTCCTGCCAGCACCCCCTCGGTGAGCCCACCTCATCCCCCGCCCAAGATCCTTACCCACCTCCCTCTAGCAGCAGCAGACAGTGTTCTACAGTTCCGTGAAGACTGGCTACACCATCGGCTACAGCCTGTCCCTCGCTGCCCTTCTGGTCGCCACAGCCATCTTGAGCCTGTTCAGGTGAGGTCCAGCCCTAGCAACAGGCCTCAAAGCAGACCTGGCCAGGTCCCTCCCATGCTCGAGCCCAGCCTGGCCCAGCACGCTCTGCCTCCCTCCTCTGTTGCTCCCTGGGCGGCACACAGCCCCTGCCCCAGCCCCCCTGCCAAGCCAGCCTCCCTTAGAGACAGCAGGCTGCTCAAAGTGTCCCACCTGTTGCAGCCTAGGCCCCCACAGGATAGCCCTGCACCTAGGGATAAGGCACCAGAGGGTGGGGCCTGTGCTCTGGAATGAGGCACCTGGAGGCTGAGGCTCTCAGAGGCCAGGCTGCACATGGGGATGGGATACCTGGGGGCAGGAACCCCCTTAGGGGCAGGGCCTGCACTCTGAAGCCACATGCTCCCCCTGCCCTACCCTTTCTCAGAGCACTGGACAGTGTTGGTTGGGGTGGGGGTGGGAGGCCCCTTCCGCCTCCCAGATCTGGCCGCCTCACACAGGAAGCTCCACTGCACGCGGAACTACATCCACATGCACCTCTTCATATCCTTCATCCTGAGGGCTGCCGCCGTCTTCATCAAAGACTTGGCCCTCTTCCATGGCGGAGAGACGGATCACTGCTCTGAGGGCTCGGTGAGGACCCCGCCCAGGCCCACCTCCCTCCGTCTCTCCTTCATCTTCTCTGACCTGAATCTCCTTCTCCCCCCTCTCTCCACGCTTTCTCTTTCCCCTTCCTCTCCTCTCTCTGTCTCTCTGTCTCTGTCTCTCTCCTTTTCTCTCTCTCTCTCTCTCCTAGGATGGCCAAACCCCATCCGACCCCATCTGGCAGCTCCTTGAATCCCACGCCCCTCCCAGCAACAGGAGATGGTGCTCAGCCACCTGGGAGTTCACAGACCTGCTCCTGCCAATGAGAAATGCCTCTCCTTGGTAGGAAATGGGTCACTTCATGGCCAGAGACCACAGCCCCCATCCCACCTTTCTTGCTAATTTCCCGTGTGACCTCTGGGAACTCCCTGCCTCAGTTTCCCCATCTGTGCAAGGACTTCCAAGCTTCCTTCCAACTCTACCCTCTGCCATCTGCATACCCAGGCTTGGCTCACCTTGTCACCCTTCCTACTCTCCCCTCTTCCCATCTGGAGCCAGCCCTCCTCTTCTGTTCTTACCCTGCCCTTGGTCAGTTCTGGGCCTCCTTAGGGAAGGGTGGCTAAGAGAGCAGTTAAAGAATTCATTGCCTGGCACTAAGCGGTCCCTCTCCAGCTGATTCTGAGCTCAGGGCCCCCTCCCTGAGTTCCTCTTGAGCTAGGATAGAAAGCTCGAGACCAGCCCTGGCTCCTACCCATTCCGGTGACTCATTGCTTCATGAGTGACCACAGAGGCAGAGCATTATTTAAGGGGTCAGCAGTACCTTCTCCCCAAAGAGTGAACCTATAATGGTGGAATCTCAGGCATCTTGACAAGTGGGAGGGAAAACCCAGAGGAGCCACTCTGGCCATTCCCAGAGGTCCTCAGAAGATCCAGCCTGGGAGCTGCGGCTGAGTCAGACCTGTGCGTGTGAGCCGCAGAGCCTGGGGAGCAGCCTGCAGCCTCCAGCACGCTTGTTAAAGATAATGATGGAGATTCATTAGTAGCTCTGTGAAGCTTTCCTAAGACAAGGAGAAGCACAGATAATTGTCCTGTTACAGAGCTGAGTTATTCTTGTTGTAAAGCAAATGGGGGAGGGTAGGGGAAACAGGCACACCTGCAGCTAGAGGATCTGACCGGGGACCTGAGGAAGGACTTCCCAGCCATAGGCAGAGGAGGATAGGCTACTCTCCGAGGATGTCTCAAAGTCAAGGGCACAGGAAGGAAGGGTGGAAATACCTGTGTTCTGGGTACAGGGAGGAGTGGAAGCTAGGGCTTCCTGGAGGAGGGTGACTTTAAGCTCTGCTCGCAGGTATCTGGGTTTGATCTGAAATGGGAGAGGACGGAGGGCCCAAATGACGTAATCATGCCAGGGGGCTCACCCAGAGCCCCTGATTGCCCTACTCAGGGGTCTCCCTGACTCCTCCCTTGTCCTCCCCTGCCTGGGGAACCCATTCTCCCACTAGCTCCTCTGGCCCCCAGGACGAATAGCCATCTCTTCCCACTCCTTTTTTCCTAATTTCTACTTCCCCCTCCTCTTCCCTCTTCTCAGTGCCCATCTCTCCTCAACACTTCCATCTGGGCCATACTCCACAGTCCACAGCCCACATCCCCACACATTCAAGGGACTCTTGCAAACACTAGCAAGAATTCTCCCTCATACCTCTTCCAGCTGCCTTCAATCCTAATTGGAATAAGACGAATGGGGAGTGGGGGTTAAGTGGATGGGTAGGTAGATGGATGGCTGAGTAAACAGGTGCATGGATAGCTGAGCAGGCAGAAGGATAGATGGATAAAGTGAGAAAAATTGGATAAATGATGGGTAGAGGCGTGGGTGGGTAGATAGGTGGAAGGATGGATGAGCAGACTGTTGGACAGATGGATAGAGGAATGGATGGATAGATGGCTAGGTGTGTGGGTTGGTAGTGGATGTCTAGAAGGTGGATAGGTGGATGAATGGAGAGATAGGTGAGTGTGTGGATGGATTGATAGATAGAAGAATAGATGACGGATGGTAGATGGATGCATGGGTGAGTTGGTAGTGGATGTCTAGGGAGTAGGTGGGTAAATAAATGGATAAATGGATAGGTGGGTAGGTGGATGATCAGATGGGTAGGTGGGTGGATAGATATATAGATAGGAAAATGAAGAGATGGTAAATTGATGGATGAATAATTAAAATTGCAAGCTTATTCCAAAGCATCAGATGATCTAAAATCAGGGAAAATGGGACAGCCACTGAGTACATTTTTAAGGGGATAATGCAAAAATAACAGAGATTACGTTGTCTGTACTACAACCTTGTTTGTTGTCCCAGACAGAGATGTGGGCAGGCAGGGACCCCTGCTAACCCCAGTGAGCCCCCTCTCTGCTCGTCCTCCTGCAGGTGGGCTGTAAGGCAGCCGTGGTCTTATTCCAGTACTGTGTCATGGCCAACTTCTTCTGGCTGCTGGTGGAGGGCCTCTACCTGCACACCCTGCTTGCCGTCTCCTTCTTCTCCGAGCGGAAGTACTTCTGGGGGTACATACTCATCGGCTGGGGTATGGTACCAGGGAGGGCTGCCAGGCTGGGGTTAGAGGGGGCAAGGCCTGGGGAGCTCACTAGGGGCGGGTGCCACGCCAGCCTGCAGTCTTAGGTCTTGCTGGGCTGCAGGTCCTGCCTATAAGGCTCTCGGCCAAGGGTTGATAAAAGCTGCCCAAATGTCTGACCCCAGGGCAGGTGCCCTCAGGCTGCAGCTGCACCTAGGGCTGATCTGGTGCGACAGACAGGTTCTACGAACATCCTTCCATTTCCCCTTCAGCCCTTGAAATGCTGCTAATCTATGAAGTGCCTCTGCCGAAATTAGAAAAAGACTCTCCCTTTAGGTGGACACAGGCCCTCAGGCATGCAGTTTCAGCCCCTCAGTGGAGCATCTTTCCACAATGAACAACCTATGCAACCATAGGTGGCAGCACTGAAAACCCACCCTTTTCTCTCTCCCTCCCTGTCTCTGGTTCCTTCTCCTCAATCTCTCCCTCATGCCTGCCATGGCATCTATCCCTGCCTCCCGTGCCCTCTCCTTTCTTTCTCTCTCCTTTGGCCCTGACAGGAGTGCCTAGCACATTCATCATGGTGTGGACCATCATCAGGATCCATTTTGAGGATTATGGGTGAGCTGTCACCCCGCCCTCTCCTCCTGGCTGTCATCACTTGGGGCAGATCCCCTGGGTGGAATGAGGGGGACCTGGGAGCAACAGACTCCGGGCCTGTGATCTCTAAAGGGTTTGAGGGCAGAGCCGGGGACAACTGGGAGGACTGCTGACTCCCTCTGGCTGAGGACAACCTCTCTCATTCTCCCCCACCATACCCTGCCCAGATGCTGGGACACCATCAACTCCTCATTGTGGTGGATCATAAAGGCCCCCATCCTCACCTCCATCTTGGTAAGGCCTCCTCCCACCACTCAGAGATGGGGAAACTGAGGCCCAGATAGGGTAGACAACTTACCTTAGGTGCCACAAGAACTTTGTGTCTAGGTCAGAACTGAAAGCTAGGCTTCCAGTGCAGGATCATCCCCATCCCTTCCTCCACCAGTTCTTCCTCTAGAATAGAGAAAACAGATTGAGAGGCCTAGTCCTCAGGGATGTGAAGTAGAGTTCCCAGATGACCTGCCCAAAGGGGAACAGCTCAGGGAAAGGTAAGCTGAAAGGGCAGCAGGTCCCTGGGGATGAAGGCAGGCCATCAGCCCAGGGGGCTGGACACCCCTGCCTCCCCTCTCTGACCACCTGACCTTGACCCCCACCCACCAGGTGAACTTCATCCTATTTATTCGCATCATTCGAATCCTGGTTCAGAAACTGCGGACCCCAGATGTTGGGAAGAATGACAGCAGCCCATACTCGTGAGTGTGGGCCCAGTACACTGGCCCTCCCAGTATCCCCATCCCCAGTCCTCAAATCACCCCACATCCCCTTGAAGTCCCCCTCCAGAGTCACCAAAAAGCCACCTTGCTCTTGCCTACCTCAAGCCCAATGGCTGGGCTCAGGCCATGAGTGTCCCCTGCCCCAGCCCCACCTGCACCAGGCTCATGAGCCCCATATCTGTTCCTCCTGCAGTCACTCACCCAGCAGATGATCTGCCCCACGTATGTATCTGCTGCTAAGCCAGATTGCTCGAGAAGACAGTAGATAACCTGTATCTTGTGTACACCATGTGCCTGGCATAGAAAAAGGGCACAATAAATGCACAGTAAATGAATGCCCTGGGGCAGCCCCCAGTCTGCCAACAAGACAGCCATATTCAGGACTCAGTACGCCCCAGTAATAATGTCTGCAGTTTCTATGCCAGGCATATGCTAAAGGGTTTCCATGTGTCATCTCATTTCATCCACACAGTCCCCACAAAATTGTCCCTGTTTTACAGATGAGGAAACTGACACGCACCCCTCCTCCTCAAGGGTTTGGGAGCACATTGCCATGGCAGGGGGAGGGCACAGCATCCATGGGACAGTGGTTATGAGGTCTGTTCCCTGTGGGAGGATTGGAGAAACAGGCAGGTTTTCATGAGAACAACAAAGGTTGAAGACAGAACTAGAGAAACCTGAAAAGGGTGGCTGTGAGAAGGTCAGTAGGGTTCTGCATGCCCACAGAAGGGAACAGGAGAGTGATTATCAGTGCTGCGCAGACAAGACAAGCCTGGGGCATCCCACAAGGGTCTTCTAGTCCTGGGATTCTAGAATGTTCTTCCTGACCTGGCTTCTCTCCGGGGAGTCTTTGCTGTGATTCTAAGATTCCTGGCTAGAATGTCACGAGCTGCTGGATTTAGGATTCTATTCTGGAATCCCGTGATTCTCTCTGATGAAACTAAGACTCACGTTCCTGGGATGACAGCATTCTCTCCTGCTGGGTGTGTAGGTGGAGCTTCCCTTCCAGTTTGAGACGGGAAGGCCCTGCGGGGGTCTGCAGTCTGCCAAGGGGCAGCAAGCACATCAGGCCTGCGCACCCTGATTCTCCATTTTGCCTGTGGGGCCTTCTTTCCTCCAATGTACAACTGCTCAAAAGGGCTTGAATCTGAGGCAAAGAGAGCTGGTCATCGCCAGGTCCACGTGGGTGAGATGGAAACTGAACAGCTGTCAGCAGGCAGAAGGGGTGGGGGGAGTAGGAGACGGAGCTCCCTGCGGAGGGGCTGTCAGCTCCCACTCTCCACCTCCCCATAAGCCTTCAATTTAAAGAAAGCCTCCATCTGTCAGCCTTGGGCGCGTGGGACGGGTTTGCTGCCAAGGAGAGGTGGGCAGTGCTCAGGATTTTGGCATGGCTGGGAACCAGGTCCAGGAAAGAGTGGGAGGGGCAAGGTCAGCTTCTCTGACCCGTTTGCTGTGGGACTTTAGGTTCAGGCCTAGGCTCCCCTGGGCTCACTGCCAAGGCAGGAGAGATAGAGGCAGAGGCCCCCCCACCCCCACCCCCCACGCCCACCCCTCAGACTTCTCCCAGCCAGGGAACCATGGGCTCACACTGCCTGGATCAGCTATAAGGTCAGGTGGCTGGGAGGCCTGAACCAGGATAAGCCTTGTTCCATGGGAGAAGGGTGAGTCCTTTCAAGTGAATGTGGGCCCTGCCAAGCACACAAGGCTGGTGAAGGAGGAGCTGGTCCTTCAGGTTGTGCTGGGAGTGTGTGTAGTGCTGTGGGGAAGCAGGGGGAGAGGGGTGCAATCCCAGAAAAGGTGACAACTCCTGGAGAAGTGGACACAGCAGAGATGCCAAAGCCAGAGGGCTATACTACTAGTTGACCCTGGGTCATCCTTGGTGACCAGGCACAAACTTGAGCACCCACCATCCTCCCCAGTGGCCTTGGGCATATGTGGTCAGCACCCCAATTACAAAGACTTCCTTCCCAAAAGCCCTCATTCCTAGTGGAGAATTGGTCTCTCATGGATATACTGCACTTTATAGCGCCCAAAGCACTTCTGAGTTTACAGTGGGCCCCGTTTCTGTAATTTGACCATGTTGAGCATACATTTACCCCATTGTAAAGATTTGGGAAACTGAGACCAGGAGAAGGAGAGCTGGGATCTCCTATAGCCCACGAACATCTCCCCATTAGCTGCCGCAGAGCCTGAAATACCCCTATTGTGCATGACCCTCAGGGTTCAGCGCTGGCCCTCCTTTATACTCTCTCCTCCAGAAGGGTGAGAATACAGGGTTTCTTTCTCCCTCATGCTGCCCTCCACGCTAGGAGGGCTGGGGGACGTGAGGGCATAGGCACTGCAGATATGGAACAGGAACAGATGTGGACCTAATATTACGGGAGCCAACAGTCCATCCTCACACATCCTGGTTGTTTTCCCCATCTTCTGTGCCCCAGCTGCCTCTACACCAGACCCTATCGAGTCCACATGTGTGGACACACACACCCACTGCTTCCTCCCATCCCCGCCCCCAGGAGGCTGGCCAAGTCCACCCTTCTGCTGATCCCCTTGTTTGGAGTGCACTACATCATGTTCGCCTTCTTCCCCGACAACTTTAAGGCTGAAGTGAAAATGGTCTTTGAGCTCGTCGTGGGGTCTTTCCAGGTATGAGCTGTTGACTTAAGGCTGCATTCTTCTCTGGGTTTTAAGGGAATTCAGCCTGGGGCCTTGGTCTCTTGCCACTGGATTCCAATTTTTTATTGTAATAAATATTGATTAGGCACCTACTGTGTGCTTTGCCCTTTGTTTAACCAGGGGAACACTGGGGCCAGGGGTGGGGCAGGGCTGGGGGCTCCCTGGGTCTGTCTTCCTTATCTCTCCTACCCCCTTCTTCCCCAGGGTTTTGTGGTGGCCATCCTCTACTGCTTCCTCAATGGCGAGGTAAGCCCCTCTCAGACCTTGGGGACCAGGGGAACAGAAACACTGATGAGTTATGTGCAGAGCAAGGACGGGTTAAACCTTGCTACTCCAAGTGTGGTCCTCAGACTAGCAAATCTGGTGGCACCTAGGACATTTTTTTAAATGCTGATTTCTGGGCCCATCCCAGACCTACTGACTTAGGATCTGCATTTTAAGAAACACCCCCCCGCCCCCCAGGAGATTCATGTGCGTCTCAGAGTTTGAGAAGTGGCTATGTTAGTGGCTGTGTGTAGAGTGAGTGGGGATGGGTGGGGGCGGCAGGTGAAGGCTGAGTTACCGTGCCGCCCTGGTTACAGAGCACAGAAATCCACTTGGATGAGCTCAAGTGAGCTGGAGGGCACGGATCAGAAGAATGGGGACACAGCCACCCAAGCAGCACCCCTCTCCCTCCCTGGACTGCATTCTCTGATCCTCTCTGCCTCCCACCTTTCCGTACTCCAAGGCGTAGATTTGACCCTGGCCCCTACAGGGTCACGACTGTGTACTGCCCAAGGTAGCATCCGCATCTCTCAATTTAGACTCCCCAAGAGGATATGACTGGCTGGCTCAGCACCCTAAATCGAGAGCAGCCCAATCAGCAGTGGAGGAGGCTTCGTGGGGGCGGGCCTGACCACTTTCCCTTCTTCCAGGTGCAGGCGGAGCTGCGGCGGAAGTGGCGGCGCTGGCACCTGCAGGGAGTCTTGGGCTCGGACCCCAAATACCGCCACCCGTCAGCAGGCAGCAACGGGGCCACCTGCAGCACGCAGGTCTCCATGCTGACCCGCGTCAGCCCGGGCGCGCGCCGCTCGTCCAGCTTCCAGGCCGAAGTCTCCCTGGTGTGACCGCTACGCGCCAGGGGCCCAGGGCGGCCCCTCCCGCCCGCACACATCCACCCCGGGCGGCACCGGGGGCGGAGGCCTGCCCGGGCGAGGCCAGCCCCAGCCCTGGGCTCGGAGGCTGCCCCGGCCCCAGGTCACTGTCCAGACGCCCCTGGAGAACGCTATCTTTGCGCCTGCCTGGGGAAAGGAGGGTACATAGATCGGGGAGCTGGTTCTCTGCAAGTTGGAGCGCTCGGAGCTCTCACCCCGGAAGATGTGGGGTGGAGCTCAGTCATCAGACTCCTCCCCAAAAGGCCCCCTCCGCCAATCGAGGGCAAGAAGTCAGCTGACTCCGCCCCCTGGTAGCTCTCTTGACCCAGCTGAGGATGGCAACCGCCGATCCCCAAACAATGCATGTGGGAACATGGTGTGATCTGAGGGGACAAAGGTCTTGCCCAGAGAAGTCACCCGCCGCCGCCACCTCGACAGTGCCTGAAGTACCATCATTGCTGTCAAGTTTCTTTGGGTTAAGCATTGCCATTCAGGCATCTCTCCGAAGATACTGTCCCCTCCCCCAGTGTCCTAGCTGCCAGCTCCTCAAGGTGGATGAGTCTCTCTGCCTCAGGCAGATGCGATTGTGATAGGGAGTTTTAGTTTGGAGAGCACAGCTATTTTCAGGTAGAATGGTCCCAGGATGGCCAGAACAATTCAAGGAGGCTGCTACCAGCCCTAACCATCCCTATGGGCTGTGGGAGCTGCCCTTGGCTGCCCACCTGTGTGCCAACTATTAGAGCCAGGCTCAGAGATGTGCCCCTTATTCCTCACATCAACCCAGAAGGTGGGAACTACTGTCCCTATTTCACAGATCAGGAAACTGAGTCTCCAAGAGAGCAGATACCATGCCGTGTCCAGGATTTGAACTCAGGTCTGGCTGATGAGAAAGTGAAAGCTCAGACTCTTAACTGCTGCCTTTTATATATTATAACAAGCTCGATCCTCTCAGTTGTTTGTACCGCTGCTGATATTACAGAAGTCCAGCCTTACTCACAGTTTCACTTTCTGCCGTTTCAGTTATCCTTGGTCAACCACTACCTGAAAATATTAAAGGGAAAATCCCATAAATAAATAATCCCTAAGTTTTAAACTGCCTGCTGTTCTGAGTAGTGTGATGAAATCTCACGCCCTCCCCCTCTGTCCTGCCTGGCACGCTATGTCACAATGCCTACGTCATTCACCTCACTTCATCTCATCATGTAGGCATTTTATCACCTCACATCATCATCAGAAGAAGAAGGATGGGTGGACTACAACAAGATATTTTAAGAGAGAGAGACCACGTTCACATAACTTTTTTACAGTATATTGTTATAATTGTTCTATTTTATTATTAGTCATTGTTGTTAATCTCTTAGTGTGCCTAATTTATAAATTAAACTTTATCAGAGGTATATACTTATAGGAAAAAACGTAGTATAGTTAGGGTTCGGTACTATCCGTGGTTTCAGGCATTCCCTGGGGGTCTTGGGACATATGCTCCATGGATAAAGAGGAACTACTGTATTACCACCATCCCTGCAACCCCATTCCCACCCGGCCCTCCGTGGAGTGTGGCTGAGAAGTCCTCTGGCCCATGTACCATCTGGACAAGAGCCTGGTTGCTGTAGCGTCCTGCACCTGCCCTGCACCCCTGTGGCCACATGGCTTCCAGCCCACGCCCCAGCCAGAACATCCCCCAGGACTGCAAACAGCCTTGGACAACAATGAGTGTTGGGTTGGACTGGCTTGGTTTCCCTGGTGGTTGATGTTCCATGTGGCCTAAAATGGAGACCAGCTTCCAACTTGTGGCCGTCTCCCCCCCAGTTTGGAGGAGGGGTGGTCTAAACATCACCAAAGCCAGATGCCACCACCCCTCTGGTTTTGGAGGGGAATCCTACATTTCCATGTGAAGAGCACACAGTTCTAAGGGCCTTCAACTCACATGTCATTGAGTGGTATCCTCTCTCTTCTGAGTGTGATGACGTTATACCAGGTCCTCATTGTGTCCCTGCACTCCCTAAATCCAGCCAAAAGGAGACAGTTCTATTCTTGGATCAATATAAAACAGCTGCTAGAGCTGCCTGCGGTCCCAGAAATGGTTAAGTATGAGTGTTTCACAGGCCACAGTCATTCCTACAGACAAGGAGCACATGGGGTATGAGATGACTGTGTTGCCATTGCCCAGGGTTCAGTTAGGAGGAGGCAGATAGAGGACAGAATAAATGTCACCAAAACAAGTGAGTTGCCAGATCCAATATGACTAATAGAAAGGTTGAGACACAGAGGTGGTAGGGTGCAGTAGGGGATGTCACTCAGCAGGCAATGTCTCCAAAGCGGTTGCCTGAGCTGGCCTCCATGACTTACACTTCCCACAAACTTGCAAGGAGGTTGTCTTGCTGCAGGAGCAGGAGAGGGATGCCAGGCTGATAAAAAGGCCAGAATAGGCTGGCAAATCGAATCTGCCTACAAGGCTCCTTCAAAGCCTTGTCCTACTCAGTACCATCCCAGGACCCATCACCCAATGAATGACAGCTCTAACCCAGCAGCCTGTAGAGGCCTGAGTCAGGGGTGGTGATGCCAGGATAAGAGTGACTGTTAACCTAGGTCAGGGGCAGCCCCAGGCAAACACCCTTCAGTCAGTGGTCCAGCATACCAAGGAGAGGCAGACTCTCTCTGTCTAGATTCACACTCCATGCCTGCCCTGTGCATGGTCAGCTGTTGGACAGAAAGGGAGGCAGCTGTGACTTCAGACACTCCTGGCTTGCTGGCAAGAGCATTCTCAGCACGCTCCCTTCCTACCCCCTGCCCAAGCTAACAATGGTGACCACCAATGATGCGCTCATGGTGGAGAGCTGGGCTGGGGCATCTGGGCACCTTGAACTTATTTCATTCTTCCCCGAAGTCTAGTAAACCTACTACTCCAACACATGGAGGATGAGAGATAGGGAAAAGGCTGGTTTCCATCCTCCCTTTCCCTACTCGGTGCCTCCCTGAACTGGTTCCAGAGACCTGGTCCACGAGTAAGGTCCAGAAGACTTCAGGAAGGTCCAGAAAACCCACCCCTAGACTTTTAGTTCCAATTTTGATTCAGATATTCTCGGAGATCATGAGTAGGTCCCTGTCTCTCTCTGGGCCTCAGTTTCTCTACCTGCACAATAGGGGATGGTGGTAGATGGCTAAGTTTAGCTCTTGGCTAAGGTGTGAGTGGCTAATGAGGAGGGGGCTGCCCAGAGCCTTCTGCCACCTGCTCTTGTCCTCTGGGCTCAGGAGGAGGATAGCAACTGGAGGGGGAGCCCCAAGTAATCAGGGGGCCAAGGGATGCACAGAGATGGAGGCTGTGCAGAGAACAAGGTCAGAGAACTGAGGAATGAGCCCAGTCTGGTAGAAGAGTGGGCGAGGAGGCAGGGTAACAGAAATGGGAGGAGCCAATAACTCCTAGAAGCCAGGTGTTTGCAGAGGAAAGGGCAGCATGCTGCTTTCCAGATCAGGGGCCCCATGGGCTACCTGAATGGTGTGAAGGCTTGGAGGGACCCCCATACCAAGCTGGACCTGACCCATCCACCACAGTGCCTGAAATCCCACCGTTAGTGAGTCACGGCTTTGGGGTAAGAAGAGAGCCCTGGGGAGAGGATCAGAGCTATCAGTCAGCAGGGTGGAAAGTGAATGGAACACAGAAAGAGAACCAAGACATGGGCAAGAAAAGGGAGGACATAGATGGGGACCTGCTCTGAGAAGTGGCAGGAGATGAAAAGCCCTGTGGTGGGCATTCAGGAATGGGGAGAAGCTGAAACACTACCTCGGGCCAGCAGAGGCCAGGGGCAGACATCTCAGGCTGCCCAGGGAGTTGGGGTAGAATAGGAGTGACCACAAGCAGAATTTCTCCTGCACCCCACTTCCCTCCAGCTCCCAAGTCCCTATCCTGCATCTCAGGGCCCTTGTCTGGCCAGACCAGCTTATCTCTATCGCCACCTGGTGGGCATCTCAAGGACTTCACCAAGGTTGGCCTTAGGGCCCCAAGGAGGCTATTCCCCAGGAGGCTAAGTGACACTGAAGGCAGGCTTCTCTCCTCAGCTCCATTTCAGAGCAAGATACAAAATGAAGGAGGTGGTGAGGCCACAGGACTGGTGACCCCAGGCATCCTGGGATTAAGACTCAGACCCAGGCCCCTGATCTCTGCGGCTCATAATGATGCTTGCCCTGGACCCAGCTGAGACCCCAGGTAGAGCTAGCCCTCTGGTTGGCCACAAGCTAGGCCATGCCCCTCAGCTGAGCCCTGACCCCAGTCTCTGAGGGCAAAGCCCACTTAACTCAGGTGGGCACTTCCTGGAAAGACAAGGGCAAGGAGCCCTCTACCATCCTGGCACAGAGGACCACCATCAAGTCAATGGCAGAGGCCACCATGTGGATGATTCCTACCACTCCAGGGCACAGGCTGCCCAAGAAGGGCAACCAATCTTCCAGCAGAATGGATAGGGGACAGATGCAAGTGAGGAGACATTGGGTAGTCTCTGAAGACTAGCTAGGGGTCTACCGGGCACAAGGGAGTGTAATGGGTACCAGGGACACCTGAATCCAGGTAAGCAGATGCCTGGGGCCCTTTCCAGCAGGAAACCAGGAAAGGTTTCTTAAATGAGGCCAAGGGGATGAGGGTGGGTTTGGGGCAGGCCACTCTGGCTGCTGAGAAGGGCCCCAGGGGCAGGCCTAGGAAAAGCTGCCAGTCCATCATCCAGGTAGGGAGGAGGAGGAGAGGGCTTGGGGAGATGATGACCTGGTTTGGGACATGCTGAATGTAATGTTTGCGGGACATCTGGGGAGAAGCCCAAGGCTATTGAAATCAAGATCTCAAGTGACAAGGCCAAGGCCCAGGCAGAGGGTAGGGAGACCAGGGCAGCCCCTGTTGGGGAGGAGTGCACAGGAAGTCTGTATCTCCAGGCACCTCCATTTGGTGTACTGTGCCAGAGTCAGGCAAGGAGTCAGTGTCAGCTCCTCCATTCCCACCACTCACCCAGGGCCTGTTTTAATGAGCAATGACCCTGCCTCCCCCCACCTCCCCCCATGTGGGAACAGGAACTGCTCTTATCTCTCCTGGGGGAGGGGGCTGGAGCCACAGCTGGCAGTCATTAAACACCCTGATTAGGCCAGGGATGGCCGAGATATTAATAGCTGCGAGTCAATGGCCCTGGAGACACAGCCTCCCAGGAAGAGGGACAGTAACCTCAGCAGGCCATGAGGATGAGGAGGACGGGTCAGGAGGCCATCCTGGCAATGCCCCAGCCCCCATGCAGGACAGAGGGGTAACCAAAGTCTAGAGAAGGGAAGGGACTTGCTTGGGATCACCAGAAAATCATTGGTAGAGCTCGGCCTTGAACCCAGTTCTCAAAATCTTGGAGCCCTGTTTCATGATATGGATGGCCATGGGTGAGATTCACTGGGCGTGCCCTGCGTGGAAACAAGTAGAGCAGACCTAGTTGGTGAAACTGATTGTGTAGTCTCTTTATTTAAAAATCTTGATTTTTAAAAAATTATGTATTTTTGCATTCGTTTCTATTTTTTCAAATATTGCTTTAAAATATTATTTAACCTGATTCCTGAGTTTTTTGCCACCTCCTTAAATTTTGCACCCAAGGTAAGTACCTCACTTGCTTCATCCTAGTCCCAGCCCAGTTCCCAGAGGTCCCAGGACCCCTGAGTCCCAGCGTATTGGCCTGAAAAAACCTTTGAAGAGCTCTGAACCAGCTTCTATGTGGCTCAGAGGGAAAGAGTCCTGCCAGAATGATGCCTACTAGAAGCAGGCAGCTCCAAGGCTAATGCAGCAGCTCCACAACGTCATCATAAACACAGGTATTTTCTATCTGTCCACTCTACCATCCTCAGTATGTTGACTTTCATCTGCAAACTTACCCCCTCGTGATTGCAAGACAGCCGTCACCGCCCCAAGCATCATGTTCTCACAGAAGCCTGTCCACTGGCAGGGAGAAGAATGTTTCCTGTGTGTGTCTTTTTGTCAGGGAAAATAAGCTATCCCAGAACCCACCTGCACACTCCCTTCAGGCTCCTTGGTGGGACTAGGTCACATACCCAATCCCTGGCTGCAAGAGAGACCAGGCTTCC